AGACCTCAGCTGGGCACAGCTGCTAAGTGCAGCCCTGGTTATTTATCTCAAGTGCTGTGCAAATATCCTGTTCTCTGTGAGCTGTAAAGTGAGAAAGGTCAGGAAGTTCTACCCCAGTTGATAGAACAGCTTGACTTCAGGAGCGGCCAAGCCTTATGGCTGGCATTCTAGGTCACCCACTGGTACTGGCATTGCTGGGCTTCTTGCTGTGCCAGGAATCTTGTAGGGAGGACAGTGCTGGGGGGAGAAGGGTAAGTGATTCTGTCCCTGCAGAATCCTACAGAAGCCTCACAGATCAAGCCTCAGGGTTTGGATGAGATTTCTGGAATACGCTGATCCCACACATCTGCTGGGACCACAAGTCATCATAGTGGTTAAGGTGTAGGCTCCTGCTGGGCCATAAAGACTAATGAAGCATTGATATATGCCACATGGGTGAGCCTTGAAATCATTATGCTAAGTAAAAGGAGCTAGATGTAAAAAGGCCACACATTGTATGAATCCATTTGTATGAAATATCCGGAACAGGCAAATCCACAGGGACAGAAAGCGGATTGCTGGCTGCCTAGGGGTAGGGGGAATGGGAGGATTGAGGGTATTAATAAATGATACAGGGTTTCTTTGGGGGGGTGAATGTAATGTTCTGAAATTGATTGTGGTGATGATTGCACAACTCTGAATATAATAAAATCCCCTGAATTGTACACTTGAAATGGGTGAGTTGAACAGGATGTGAATTACAGCTCAGTAAAAAAAGCTAAATTACAAAAAAGAGGATGTAGGCTGCAGGGTTACATAGCTTGGGTTCAAATCCTGACCCTACCACTTACTATGTGGACATTGTTGGGCAAGTCACTTAGCAGCCTTGTGCATGAATTTGCTCACTTGCAAAATGAAGACAATTAAATCACCTGTTCCGTCAGGTTAGTGTGGGAATTAATACACATAATGGGCTCAGAACAGTGCCTGACACACAGTAGGCAGCTGCTCTTCCTAGTTCAGGGAAGCAAACCTTTATTGGACAAGGTGGAAAATGAGAGCCCAGAGAGGTTATGTGGCTTGCCCAGGGTCACACTGTAGGCTGAAGAACACCCTCCACCCCCAAATATATGTCCAAGTCCTAATCCCTGGACCCTCTGCATGTGACCTTATTTGGAAAGAGGGTCATTGTGGATGTGATTAAGTTAAGGATCTTAAGATGAAAAAATCATCCTGGATTACCTGACTGTTCACGAAGCCCAATGACAAGTGTCCTTGCTAGAGACACACAGGAAAAGATAGACATAGGGAAGGCGGCCATGTGAAGACAGAGGCAAAGGTTGGAGGGATGCAGCCACAAGCCAAAAGAACGCCTGGAGCCACTAGATGCTGAAAAAGGCAGGGAACAATTTTCCCTGGAGCCTTCGGAGGGAGCACGGCTCTGACAACACCTTGATTTCAGACTGTGGCCTCCAAAACTGTGAGGATACATTTCTGGCAGTTGTCAGAGCAGCTTCAGGAAACTTGTACAACCACTCAGCCCACAGTGCCAGGGCTGGGACTCCTGGCTCCAGTGATCACTTGGGACCCTTCATTGCATTTATCTGTGAATAAAGAACAGTTTCAACCCCAGATACCATGAAGGTTCTGGAGGCGAGCTCTATGATCCCCTTTTACAGACAAGGACACTCAGGCCCTGTTGTCACTTGCCCATGTCACACACCCATGAATGTGGGAGCTGCGTAGACCTGTCTCCTCCAGCCACACCGCTCATTAGATTTACCAGCCCCTGCCTGGAACAGTATTTAATTTGCCTTTTACAATGCATCAATTGCCAGTTCATTAACTGGCAACTGAAAGTTGTAGGTGATACTAGAATTTATTAATAACATTGGAAATAAATCTCCCTGGAATTCAAGTAATTAAAAATCTTGTGAAATCCTCTTTTTTATAATCTATAAAACAGGTCCGGAATTAGGTGTTCCAGAACCTGTGGGGGTGGTTAGGATTGCAGGTATGGGAAGTTGGGGTGGGGAGGGGCTTCTGTTCTACCCTAGGCCATTCTTGGATACCCTCCTGCCCTTGCCCACCACCCACTCACAAGTTAGAGACTGGCCCGAGTCTGTGCTCTTTCAGTGTCTTGGTCCCCCAGGCTCAGATGGGCAGGGGGTGAGAAGGAGAGGGTCTCCTCCAGACAGTACAGTCACAGGCTAGGGCCTTGGGGCAACAAGGACTATGGCTGCTTTGGACCCCAGAGGAGGGGCCTGTAAAGGAAGTTGTCAGTGAAGTGCTGTCAGCCCATCCCACCACACACACACTTGTGCACATGCACACATGCACCTGCGCATGCTTGCACACATGTATGTACTCATGTATGTGTGTGCACACACTCATGCATATACCAGGGGTGGGAGCCTGTTGGCATTTGAAAGGAAATGCTGGGTTTAATCTGGACGTTGGGACACAGGAGAGAAGTGTGTGCAGGAAGCAGCACCTAGCAAGAGACTGGGGAGCACCCTCAGGGGGTCAGGGGATAGAGAGCAGAGCAGACTTAGGGAGGAGACAGGCTGGGGTGGGGTGGAGTAAGGGGTGGCCTGTGCTAATTCTCCCTCATTAGCCCCCTGGGCACAGGGATGGGAACTCAGGGATGCCCTTCACTCTCCTCCTGCCTTGGGCTGACCCTCCTGAGCCCCCTCTGCAGGAGCTGGGAGAAGGGTAGTTTCAGGCAGCGGAGGTTGGCTGGACTCTGGACACCCAGTAATGGCATCTTAGCTGAGGGCACTGGGGGACTTGCTTCCCCATTCTGAGTCACCATTGGGCCCTTTAGGCTGAGCATTGAAGTGCAGGTTGGGGTTTGCACACATGAGCACAAGCATACTCACGGTACGGGACAGAATCAAGGACCAGAGTGTCCCAATCTGACTGGGTTGGGCTGCAGGGGTCAGAGAAGGTGATGCATGTGAGGATCTTGCCCAGAGCCAAGAGCTGTGGCCCTGCTGTGGCTGTAAGTGCCCAAAACTCCCTCGACCAGTACCCACAGGTTGACAGCGATGAGGCCAGCCAGTGAGAGAAGCCGTGGCCCGACTACCTGCCAGGTGCTGCCGTTTGTACAGCTGCAGCCTGAGGACAGCCTCAGGTTGCAGAGCCCAGGCTAGGGTCCAGGAACAGGGAGCCACTGCAGGTTCATGAGTAAGTGTGGGGTGCTGTCAGGTTTGCATTTCAGAAAGATAGTTCAGGCAAGGTGGAGGGGAAGGGGCAGACTGATGGTGAGAACTTGCCAAGGCTGCCTGTGGCTACCTGTCTCCTAAGGGTCAATTTCCTCTCCCTCCAGCGTTTGGGGTCCTCCAAGATCTGGTGCTTGGCAGCTGCTTCAGGGTCCTGTGAGAACTCCTTCTGCTTCCACCCCATTCTGCTGTTCATCACCCACCACCACCGGCCTCCGCTCACACGTGTCTCCCTTACGGTGCCACTCCTCGGTCTCTTGGTTTGTATGAACTCCTCCTTCCAGAATTCGGCAGCCAAGAGCAGCCTCCCCGAATCCCACAGACCTGTCCTGAAACCCACTTTCACTGTCGACTGGCTGTGTGATCTTGGGCAGGCCACTCAGCTTCTCTGGGGCCGATGACCCTCCACAAAATGGGGAAAGCAGCTGTGAGGCTGAAGGGAGGTGAGGCCTGCTGAGTGTTCAGCATGATGCCTCATCTCAGCCTTACGAAGGACCAGGTCATGTCCACCTCCTTGGAGAGAGCCTGTCCCATGACCCCAACCCTGGGGACTGGGCCCTCCTCTGCAGTCTTGACCTGTCCACCTGCTGGCAGGGACCTCCCCTTGGAAGTTGGTTCCCTCCTGCACCTTTCCACCCCCAGTGGCTCTGAGGTGGGCTTGGGAGCACCTGGACATCCTGCTCCCTTCCTAGGGGCTCATTCCAGGCCTTCCTCTGACAGTGCAGGATCCAAGGCCAGGGGACAAGTGGAGGTTTCCCATATGTCTAAATATTTTAAAGTTATATGTTGCGTTAACCAGCTTAAATAAAATATGCTCTATGCTCCTACTTTGACAAATATCCTTTCCAGGGACCTAGATGACCAGGTTGACTTCAGATTGCGACCTTGCAGAGTTATGTGCCAGAACGTGACAGCTTATGGAGAGCCTGCCCCTGGCCCTTTGAACCAACACCTCCCCGCCTCCCTGCCTGCTTCTGTCCTGTACTGAGGGGGTTTATGTGCATGTGTGGACAACCACCTGCACTCTCTGTTCAGTCCACACCCTCCCAAAGCAGCAGGCCCCTGGTCTAAGGGTGCAGATGCTGGTGGTGAGTGGTCTGCCTTTAAGATGCAGGGAGAAGCCCATGCGGAGCCTGGGCTGGGGACCACCAGAGCAGCACATCTGGTGTCCTGGGGAAGCAGAACAGTATCTCTTAGGGCCTCATTCTGCCGATGGGTCTGGGAGGGTGAAGTGCTTCACTAAGTGTAGAGGACTTAACTAGTCAGGTAGCATTAGGTCTGTGGGAGCCCCAGGGGGTGCTTAGGGCAGGACAGAGGCTCCAGTGAGCTAAGAAGGTGGCCTGGAGAAAGAGAAAGGGGCTCAGCCATCTGGGAGAAGTACTCACGCCTCTGCCAGCCCATCCTTTCCCTCCTGCATCCTTGCATGCGTGCTCTGTGTACATTTTGCCCAAGAGGTCACCAACGGGCCACCCTTCTCCTCCCTCCGAGCCTTGTCCCTTGCTGTCTGCCCTGCATGCAGAGTCCTTTCCTGTTTAGCTGACTCCTGCTGATCCCTGAAGATGCCTTTTTCCTCCATGGTCCTTCCTCATGCTCCCTAAAGATTAGCTGTCCCCTCTGCTGTATTGATATGACCCCGTGGCCACCTCCTGCCATATGTGTGGCACTGGCCAGGACTTACCTGTCCTCACATCCAGTCACACTGTTCCTTCTAGGAATAGCTTCCTGCAGCACCTGAGGGTCCCTATTGCCAGGCTCGCGAGGCCCCCCCACAGCCGCCCCCACACAATATGAGACCCCTCAGTGGGAAGAGCACCTTTATTATCAGAGCGTCACAGGCTTCCTGCCGGCCTCTGACCCCCCTCCACGGAGACAGGCCTGTGGGAGGCCGCACCTTAACCTCAGGGACAGTTCTGCCTCAAGAGGGGCAGTCAGAGCCTTGAGGCAAAAGAGGTTACCAGGGTGAGGAGCAGGCCGCAGCCTCCCAGGAGCACCTGGAGCACTGGGGGCCATCGCTCCTGCTGCGAGGGGGGACATGCTCGGGGTGGCGCCAGCACCTGTGAATCTGAGTCTGCTGCCCTCACTTGAGTGTGGGTCCTGGCCCAGTGAGAGAGGAGCACCAGGGTGGCCAGGGTCACAGGGGACCCGTGGCCTTTGAGGCCTTGAATAACTCTGAGGGCTGTGGTCTGAGCTGCTCTGTCTGGGGCACCTGGGGTCTGTTGTGAAGCTGCTTGGGCGCACTGCCCTGAGGGAAGGCACATCTCTCCCCAGCAGGCCTGGGACTCCTTCCTCCACTTCATCAAGGAGACATTAGACCTGTCATGTAATGCAGAAGTGGCCAATCCTACAGATCCCAGAAAGACTGGGAGAAGGCAGGGCTGCCAGGAATGCCCCTTGGGGGTGCATGTTCCCATTAAATCCCCCCTCCTCTGGTTCAGAGGAGGGCCCTGGTGGGGGTGGGCTCAGAGAGACTGGGAGGCATCAGTGGGCTATCCAGTTTGGTTTGAGGACTCCTGCACTCCCAATGCTCCTTTCTCAATCCCCAGGCCCATGTGACTGCCATGGATTTATTGGAATTGAGGAAGGAGACCCAGGGCCCTGCCCTCCTTCCCACTGTCCAGTCCAGCCTCCCCATAGTCTTGTGCTCGCCCTGTCTGAGTTTCCCGTGAAGAGGGGAAGATGGCGAAGTAGAGAGTTCAGGAACTGAGAGGCCTAGGTCCAAATCCAGCCCCAGTCTTCCACGGCCTGGTGGCTTTGCAGGTTATTTGTCCTCTCCAAGCCTCTGTTCCCCATGTAAAGTGGGGATAACAAGCCTACCTCCTAAGGGTTAAATGAGACAATGTAGGGAGAGCTCCTTGGACAGGCCCAAACGTCACAGGAACTCAGTAAGTATTATGGTAAGTATTATGATTATTCTCAAATCCTGCCTGGCCCACCCAGACTCTGTTTCTTGCAGGGGGTGGGAGGTGGGGGAAGGCAGGAATAAGAGCAGGGCTCTACCAAGGGTGCTGGGCCCTCTGGACCCTGCCCCTGGAGGTGCCATCCATCTCCAAGGCCCCCAAGCCCTGGGAGCAATGTTCCTCATGAGTATCCATGCCTGGAACCCAGTCCCATTAGGGGTGCCTTCAGGATCCAATGGCCACACAGGCTTCAGGGCTGGGTCTCTGGTGGGCTGGGCTTGCCCTGGAGAGTTGGGCCCTTACTTTCCGCTGCTGGCCCGGCCAGTGCTCTTCTGCATAGGATTGGGGCCAAGCAGGGCAGCGAGGGAGCCATCGGGTGGTGCGCCACCACGCTTCATCTTGAGGTTGGCTCTCAGGGCAGCATCCTGGCCGGAGCCCCCCTCAGGGGAGGCCAGGGGATCTGGAAGGAGAGCAAGAGAATGGGCTTTGGGAGCACTGAAAGGAACCTTCACTTCTGCTCCCTGGCCAGCAAAGGGAGTGCTGTGCCCATCAAGGACAGGGTTTTCTACTCATGCATTCACTCACACACTCATTCATTCATTCATTCATTCATTCATTCATTCTTCAACAAATGCTGACCAAGGCTGGGCTCCAGGCCCTGAAAAGGTGCCAGTTACCACCCTGCTACCCCATGGAAACCTTGCCCCATGAAGGAACAGAGGCTCTGAAGAGCACTGTGAGGAGAGAGGAGGTCGGCTTCCCAGAAGTGAACTTGGAGCAGGTCCTGAAGTGGGAGTTGGTGTTTAGCAGGCAGAGGGATCAGCTGGAACAAAGGCATGGAGGTGGAGGGGGTGACTGGATGGTGGCTCTGTGTCACTGGACACCAGGCTAGGCTGGGAAGGGACTTAGGATCTGATGAACCTAGATGTCAGTCATGGGCAGCAGGGAGTCACTGAGAGTCCTTGAACAGGGGAGGGACAGGGTCAGGCTGGGGTTTGGGGAAAACTATCCGGCAGCCAAGTGAAGGGAACGTGGAGACAGGGAGTCCAGAGACAGTGGCAGCCGTCATAAGGGCAGCAAGGAGGGGAAGGCAGGAGCAGAGGGAAAGTCCCAACTCCATGGCCAGCTGTGGCCTACCCATTCCTGGGCCCTGGTCACTGCTCACCGTGGATCCCAATCATGTGCTCCAGGATGAGGACCCTCTCTGCCAGGATCTTCAGGGCCTCCCGCAACTGCTGCACCCCCTCACCCTGGTGGGGAGGAAGCAGCGAGGGTCAGTGCCATTCCGCTTCGGTGTACATGTCGTCCCAGTCCTCCCCCTTCCTGCCTCTTCCCTCCTGTCACCATCAATACAACAGCCACCATCCACCGCGTGCCAGGGATGGCGTTTGAATTCTTGTTCACAGACAAGGAACCTGAAGCACAGAGAGGGTAAGCAGCGTTCCCTGGACACACAGCCTGGAAGTGGCCGACAGGGGCTTCGCACCCAGATCTGTTCCCTCAAGTCTGGGCTCTTCCTGCTCCGCAGCTGTCTGGCTGCTTCCCCTGTGAGCCCTTCTTTCCAGAAAATACCTTGCAGAGCACCTCGCAAGGACCCACGGCGGGGAGCTTTGCTGGTTTCTCCTCAGCACTGCCCGCCTGAGAGCCCACCTCCGAAAGAAAAGGGGAAGGACAGCCACCGCTTCTGGGGTGCTGCAGGAGCGCAGGATGGTGGCGAGTTTGCATTTCTGAGACCTGGCCTATATGTGGGCAAAGGACCTTGTGTGCCAGGACACGAGAGCGAGCTGATTTATTGAGAAGCAGGTGTCAAGGCCACTTTGAAAAAAAAAGTGATGGTGAAGGGACAAGGCCCGCCTGGAGTCAGCAGCAAAACAGACACCTTTTGCTGGTTTAACATGGCAACTGTCATGACATTCAGTTTAACTTAGCTTAAAACAAAACAAAAGAAAACCAAAAAGCATCCTACTGGGTTCCAGGAGAGGAGCCCTCCCACCAGCGAACNGCGAGTTTGCATTTCTGAGACCTGGCCTATATGTGGGCAAAGGACCTTGTGTGCCAGGACACGAGAGCGAGCTGATTTATTGAGAAGCAGGTGTCAAGGCCACTTTGAAAAGAAAAGTGATGGTGAAGGGACAAGGCCCGCCTGGAGTCAGCAGCAAAACAGACACCTTTTGCTGGTTTAACATGGCAACTGTCATGACATTCAGATTAATTTAGCTTAAAACAAAACAAAAGAAAACCAAAAAGCATCCTACTAGGTTCCAGGAGAGGATTCCTCCCACCAGTGAATCAAAGTCCACCAGAAGCTGTGCTCTGGACAGTATCTGGGATGAGGGTATCCCCGGTGAGGAGCAGGGGGTTCAGGCCCCCCTGTCAGGGACCCAGCTGAGCCCTGTGTCCCTGAGCCACAGGNGGTCCAGGCCCCCCTGTCAGGGACCCAGCTGAGCCCTGTGTCCCTGGGCCACAGGTTGCATGCTTATGAAATGAGGAGGGAAAAGTCCCAGGTACCCTCTCAGTCTGGCATCACAAGTGGCCCCAGAATCTGTGCTCATGGCCCAGCTCACACATCTTCCTCCCACTGCTCCTGCGCCCACCACANGGAGCAGGGGGTTCAGGCCCCCCTGTCAGGGACCCAGCTGAGCCCTGTGTCCCTGAGCCACAGGTTGCATGCTTATGAAATGAGGAGGGAAAAGTCCCAGGTACCCTCTCAGTGGCCTGTGAATCTGTGCTCACGGCCCAGCTCGCACATCTTCCTCCCACTGCCTCCTGCGCCCACCATGGTTGCTCTGGTTCCAGCATCGTCCCCCTTTTCCAGTCCCACAAGGACCTCTGGAAGGTCCTTCAGCCCAGTCCACTTCCCACAGCTGCTTGCTTCTAATACCCATCTCGCTAGATTCTACCCCCGCTTGGAACCTCCCCAAGTTCTCTCACTTAAGGGGAGCCACTTGCCTACTCAGGGGACCTAATCTCAGCTTGTCTCCCCTGCTGGGGCCTCCCCTGCTGGCCCCAGTACCCTTGCCCCCTTTATCCATCACCCCAGTCCCCCAGTGCCTCTCCGGCTCCCAGAAGGTAAAAGGTTCCCCATGGCCATGTCCTCACCCCGCTGCATCCCCCCCACGCACCCCATTTGGGCCCCTGTGTGCTCCCATTCTCCCCACTGTCCTCTCTCACACCCACCAGCCATCTGNCCCCCTTTATCCATCACCCCAGTCCCCCAGTGCCTCTCCGGCTCCCAGAAGGTAAAGGGTTCCCCATGGCCATGTCCTCACCCCGCTGCATCCCCCCCACGCACCCCATTTGGGCCCCTGTGTGCTCCCATTCTCCCCACTGTCCTCTCTCACATCCACCAGCCATCTGTCCACCTGCCCCATGCATCCTTCAGTTTTCCAGCCCTTGACCCTGTGGGTACATCAGTGCCCCAGGTGTTGGTCATGAGAAAGCCCTGTCCCTGGAGAGGAACCCTGCATCCTGAAGCCTCCTCGGCAGGTCTGTGGCTCCTCCTGTCTTCTCCAGCAGGGGCTCCCCTGGCCCGCCGCCCTGGGCCAGTCACCCCATCTGTGCCATCCCCACAGCAGAATCTTCACACTGTGCTGTGATTTTCACTCATCTGTCTCCTACCCTGGGCTGGGACCCCATTTACCCTGTGGAAGTGCTGGGGTCAGGGCTGAGAGGTGTCAGCACAATCTGTTGGGGACCGTTCTCCCACTAAGACACAGCGGAGGGGAGCAGGTAAGCAGGGGCCAATNGCAGAATCTTCACACTGTGCTGTGATTTTCACTCATCTGTCTCCTACCCTGGGCTGGGACCCCATTTACCCTGTGGGAAGTGCTGGGGTCAGGGCTGAGAGGTGTCAGCACAATCTGCTGGGGACCGTTCTCCCACTAAGAGACAGCTGAGGGGAGCAGGTAAGCAGGGGCCAATGGCACAGTTACCTCTGCGGCAGCTCTCTCCTCCTCTTCCCCCCTCCTGCCCGGCTCGCCCTAGGAAGAAAGTCACGCAGTCAACAGTGGCGCAGGGGGGACTGGGGGGCTAGGGTGAGCAGAGCAGTGGAGGGCCAAGGCCCTGGTCACCNGAGGGGAGCAGGTAAGCAGGGGCCAACGGCACAGTTACCTCTGCGGCAGCTCTCTCCTCCTCTTCCCCCCTCCTGCCCGGCTCGCCCTAGGAAGAAAGTCACGCAGTCAACAGCGGTGCAGGGGGGGTGGGGGGCTGGGGTGAGCAGAGCAGTGGAGGGCCAAGGCCCTGGTCACCCTGCGCAACCTCACTTGGGAGGTGTCTAAAGTTTACTTCAGGGGCTTAATTCTGCTTCTGGGGCAGGGGAGAGTCAGGTTTGGAACCTCATGAGCTTATGTTTTGGGCTCTTCCAGGGTTCAAGTCCCCTGCCTCTTAGGACTCTGCTTTCCTGTCTCTAAAATGGGGCTAGCCTCACAATAATATCTACCTGGTACTTACTCNGCTAGCCTCACAATAATATCTACCTGCTACTTACTCCTGTGTGACCTTGAGCAAGGTATTTGACCTCTCTGTGCCTCAGTGTTCTTTTCTCTACAATGGGGTAATAATAGTATCTACCTCATAGGCCTATCAGAAGGATTAAGTGAATTAGCATTGTAACGAGTTTAGATCGAACCTGGTGCCTGGAACAAGAGGTGCTGTGAAAGTGTTGTCAAACATTACTAGACAAGAGCCCAGGAGGAGGCACGGCTTTGGAGGCAAACACGCCTGGGTTTAAATCCTGCCTCTATGGTTGCCTTCCTGTGTGACCTTGGAAAAGTTACTTAACCTCTCTGGGCTGCCAGTTCTGGCAAATGGGGATAATAAAGCAGTCTTGCTGGGTTGCTGTGAAGCTTAAATACACTATGGATGAAGAGCACCTCCACTGTGGCTAGCACATAGTAGGTGCGCAGCAAAAATCCATCCTTCCTCCCTGGCCCCATTGCCTCTCCTCCTCCCCTCCCCCCCTTCCCCATAAGGCTTTGGGCATGAAGGAGGTTCTTCTCCTAGGTGTAGGAGTTGAGGTTCATAAATTCTTGTTTCTAAGAATGGAAATTAGAAGTCAGCTTTCTAAGCCTCTTAAATTCTGGGAGGTTCAGAGTCAAGAAGGGATGTTCTATCTAGGTCCATAACACGTTAATTAAGGGGTCCCTGGAAGAGACCTTGGAACTCTCATCCAACCCGCTCTAACAGGAGCCTATTTCAGTCCTTGCTCACACTCCCAGTGAGGTGGCTCCTCACCTCCCAAGGTCACTCCTTCTCAATTTGGGCATCTGGGGCTGCACTCAGGTTGCCCCTTTCTGTCCTCTGCCCCATCCTGGCTGAGATGGATAAGNGCCCCTTTCTGTCCTCTGCCCTATCCTGGCTGAGATGGATAAGGCCATGTTTGGGGAGGTTGTGGGGCTGAACTCGGGTAAGGCTGCCTGGGAGAGTTCCCACCCACCCGGTAGCCTGGGCATGCACCAGAGCCCACTGCCCCAGGTGTGGCCTATCTAAATAGCCCCACACTTACAGATGGGCCTGTCATGCCCCGCTCTCCAGCCAGGCCCTGCAGAAAATCAAAGCAGATTAGTCCTTGCCTGCCCTCCATGGCCAACCCCTCAGCCCTCCCCCTCCTCATGCAATGGGCTCTGGATCTGAAAAATAGGATNCACACTTACAGATGGGCCTGTCATGCCCCGCTCTCCAGCCAGGCCCTGCAAAAAATCAAAGCAGATTAGTCCTTGCCTGCCCTCCTTGGCCAACCCCTCAGCCCTCCCCTCCTCATGCAATGGGCTCTGGATCTGAAAAATAGGATGAGAGGACAATGGCATGGAGGAAATGGAAAGGCCACACGTGGGGGCCTCCCAGGCTCTAGAGCCACCCTCCTCTGGCTCCTAAGTGAGCCTCAGCTGAGACCTCGGTCTTCTTATCTACAAAATGGAGCAATCAGAAAAGGGGAATAGATGGCAAAGCACACATCCCCACCCTCACCCCCCATGTAAGAGAAAGACCCTCAGAGACNCTCTAGAGCCACCCTCCTCTGGCTCCTAAGTGAGCCTCAGCTGAGACCTCGGTCTTCTTATCTACAAAATGGAGCAATCAGAAAAGGGGAATAGATGGCAAAGCACACATCCCCACCCTCACCCCCCACGTAAGAGAAAGACCCTCAAAGACTGACTGAGAGCAATGGTGATATCAAGGGTACCACACGTGGACTCCATCAGTGCTCATGCCCAGCTGGAAGGCTCCCAGAGTCCCAGTGTCTGACACAATCAAGGTCCCCGGAGATGTTTGGTTCGTGAACAGCATTTATTAAGGGTATACTCAGGGTTTGACATTTTCTATCTATTATCTCCTTGATCCCTCACAATAAACTTGCCTAGAAGGGATTTTTATCCTCATTTCACAGATGGGGAAACTGAGGCCCAGGGTCAGCAGCTGGAAATTGGCACAGCTAGGCTTCAAACCCCAGTCTGTCTGTCCTGCTGAGAGGAGAAAGCAGGGGCCATCTGGTCTTCCATCGCTGTCCCTTCTCACTCCTATCTGAGCCCTGTCTAGGAGGACTTCCCCCCAAATCCTCAGAGGCCTTGATTCCTTGGCAAGGGAAGGAGATGACAGTTAGGTCACCAGACTGGCCCCACCGTCCACGGTGAAGCCACAGTCCAGCCCCTCTGTGATGAGCAGAGGAGGCTGTGGATATTCTGACACTGTCAATATTTGAGCTAACCTTAGCCATGGTGGAGGCCCAGACAGGCCCTAGCAGTGGGTCCTGGAAGAGCTTGTCCACTGTGGAATGATGCTGGCATAGAAGAAATGAGCAGCAAAGAACACTGCTGCTAATAAAACCAGAATTTCATTCCTACTTTTCCCTGGGTCCCACCTGGGCCCAGGTGGAGACCGGCCAGGTAGACCGGTTCCTTCCTGAGCAACTCCTGCAGGCAAGAAGCCTGGCTCCTCCTTTCCTAGGAAGCCAATGCTCCCTCACATGCCTGAAATGGGAGAGGCCTTACCTGGGATCCAGGTGCACCTGGGGGTCCTGGGGGACCATGTGGTCCTGGGGGACCTGTTGGCAGAGTCACCGATGGTTAACTGGGGCCAGAGCAGCCCTCCTCCCCTCTGGAGAGGGACATTCCCACCCTCCCACCCCAGCCCCTGCCCTGGGTCTGTCTCCATGGGCAGCAAACAAAGATTTAGTGAATGAATTTGGTGAAGGAATGGGGAGCACACACTCTTGCCCATACTCTTGCCTGGGTTACAACTGCTTCTTGATAACACCCTCCACGCGGACACCCAGAGCAGACAGCCCACCGCCACCCACTCTCTCCATGAGGCCCCTACACCCCAATCTGCTTCTCCTCCCAGGGCCTCTTCCATGGGGCCACTGTGCACCCTGTCCACAGCCAGCCAGTCTCCTGGCAAATCTCTCCTGGTTCTGGCCCTCCTTGGGACTTTGGACCGGACTCCTCCAAGGTCATCCTTCTTGCCTGGGTTACTACAGCTGCTTCTTGATCAATCACCCTCCACGCGGACACCCAGGAAGCAACCGTTCAGTGAGATCCCTCTCAGCCCCTCCATATTCCCAGATACCTTCCCAGAAAGTCCCTCTACTTCTGTGCCTTTGCCAATGCTGTTCCTTCCTCTTGGAGCTTTTCCATTCCCTCCACATCCCTGCAAATTTTTCCCACTGGTCTTTCCTACTAATCTCAGGCTGAACGTCTCCTCCTCCAGGAAGCCTCCCCAGCACCTCTCCTCTAGGCAAACTTCTGACATGGACCAGCCACCACCCTGGCTGCGGTCAGTTTCCATGTCTGATTGCCTCATGGGTCAGAGAAAGTCCATGGTCAGGCGAGGCCACCTGTGCCCAGCTCAGGAGGCAGTGTTCGTGACTGAACTTAGAGCACGCTTGGAAGAGTGAGGCCCTTGTCCCTGCCTGCACAGGCCTGTGCCTCCCGAGCTGCAGGGAGGTCCCTGATGGGCTGTACCAATGTGCCCCCTGATGCTTGATGACCTGCAGGAAAGTGCATCCCAGATAGGAGCACATCTTGACTCAGTTTAAAAACAACCCTTCTTTCCAGTCAGCAAATCACCCGAGGCCCAAGTGCTCTCAAGCTCATTCCCTCACCTCATCTGAGCATTTGCTCAATGCCACCTTTGAAATGAGGCGTGCCCTGGCCTGGCCCTCACCCAGCCCTGCTTTTCGTCCATCACCCTCTCAGATCTGTGGACTTACTTATGGTGTTTGAGTCAGGTTTGCCCTCTTCCACTACAGTAAGTACCAGCAGGACAGGAGCCTTTGTTTTATGAGCATTTGCTTTGTGAGAGGGACCTAGGACACTGCCCAGCAGATAGGATTTGCTCAGTGAGTATTTGTAAAAGAGTAAATGACAGGGAGTGAGTGCTCTGGGCCTGGGGACATCCACATAGCCGGGCAGGCAGGGCTTTGGTGGCCTTGGCCCCAAACTCCCCTCTCCTCCAGTGAGGATCCATGGAGGGTGGGGGTCAAGCCAGATCCAGGGTCATTGAGCCCCAAAGCCCCATTGAGCACCAGGGTCATCCCTTCCCCCAGGGCTACTGGTTTCTGCCTAAAGGCCAGGGGCCTCGCGCCTCTCATATGCCCCACCCGAGCTGCTCCTGTGCTGACTTCATGTGCCCCAGGCCTTGGCCTCCGCGCATCCCGGTGCATCTACTACTCTGGTCCACATGAGGGCAGCTCTGAACTGCTTTATGTGGGCACCAGGAACTTGGGGCTCCTGTGTCCAGTCCCACAGATGAGCTGCCAAACAGCAGGCTGGGGCAGCCCCAATCCTCAGCACCCTGCCAAGGCCACTGACCCCCAAACGGCCCCCTTAAGGCCCCCTGGCCAAGGCTAAGCCCAGGAGGGGGTACCCAGTCTGGGCCATCCTGTGCTGCTGCCCTCTGCACTTACCTGGAGGGCCAGGGGGACCCCGGGGTCCTGGGACACCGGCCAGTACCGTGTCCACGGCCGCAGAAGCCAGCTGTGAGTCTCCATCTGCAGAAAGAGCAGATGGCCTGTGACCAGGCAGGGTGGAGCCGGCAGAGCTGGGAGGCTGGGCTCGAGGTCCCCTAGAGTGGGGATGGGCACCCCAGACCCCACTGGGCCTCAAAGGAGCCCTGGCAAACAGATGCTATTGCTCCCACTGCTCAGAAGAGCACACCGAGGTCAGATCAAAGGGCAGCGAAAGCCCAGTGGGCTTCATATAAAGGAAACTCCTTCCTGAACATTCCAGACCCTTAGACTCACCTCCCCAATGCCCCAGGCTGGCACTGTCTTTCAGGGTCTACCCCACATGCCTGTCCCGATGCACCCCACTGGTTCACTCATTTGGGGCCTTCTCTAGGAAGCCCTCCCGGCTCACCACTCTGAGCTGCCTCCATCCGGGCTCTGGGGCAAGGTGGGGTCTGTCTAATGACCTGTCTCCTTGGCTCCTCTAAGGTGAGCCCCGTGTGACTTCACCCTGCCCATCCCCAGAGCAGCTGGGCCCAGGAAATGTCTGGAATGAATGTGGCTACCTCTGCCCCTCCTTCCACACAGGGAAGCCTGGACTGTCCTACCATAGGCCTCACAGCAGGCGGGCCCCTGAGGGTACTCAGTCCTCACCAGTTGTTCCCACTGGGGCACCCCTATCTCCCCAAATGTTCACACCCCAAAGGCTGCCCTCCCTCAGGGACCTCAGGGCTGGGGGAAGGAGGGTCCTCTCTGAGGAGGGCTCTGGGCACCGGAGGTGGTAGGGGGGCAAGGTCAGACAGGGCATCATGGCCAGGCCAGCAGCCCTCGGATGGCTCCTCATGGCCCTGGGGTGTGGGCTGCTGAGCCCTGAGACTCTCAAGTGAATCACAAGTGCCATCTGTTCCCTCCCTGCCCAGGGGCATCTCTGAGCCCATATGCAGGTGAGAAAGCAGAGTGTTCAGTGAGTTAACATTCGCTCCACATCCCTGTAGAGAGCCAGGCCCCTTCCCAGGCCCTGCCCTGCTGGCCCGGCCCCTGCACTCACTGAGGACAGCCCAGGACCCCCAATTCACTTGAGGATGAGCCCTCCCTCTTGGTTCAGGCGATGGCTGGGGGCTGGCTGTGTTTTACAAGCCCAGAGCAACTCCATCAAGAAATATTATCATCCCTACTTTACAGATGGTAAAACTGAGGCTCAGAGAGGAACAGTGCAATTCAGGTCCAGGTCTTAATACTCAGGTGAGGGCTGTGCTGCCTGAAGGGACAGAGCACCAGCAGGACAGGGGTTGGGGTTTCTCTAACAGCTGACAAAAGGTCCCTTCCACCACAGTGCCCAGGATGTGCCCACTCATCCCCTCTCCTCAACGTTTTATGTCGATGATGTCACTTTGCTTCTTATAAAACCCTTCCAGGCTGCCCAGGACACTTAACAAAAATGATGTTCCTCAGGGACCTCAGCTCCCTCAGCCGGGCTTCCCCAGGGCAGGCAGTGTTTCTGGAAGCTCAGAGGTGCCCTCTCGCACCAGCTTATGGCCCCTGAGGGCAGGAGTCTGCTTTTCTCACTGCTGTATCCCAGTGACTACACACAACAGGTGCTCAATCAACACTTGTCGGATGCCCTGCAGTGAGGGGACTTGTGATGAGGAGATGGGGTCACAGAGGACCTCAGTGGTGCTGCCATCACCAAGGAGGGAAACTGAAGCCAAAGAGCAGAGTGACCTTTGGAGGGGTCAGGACCCCAGGGGTAGGAGCTGAGCACCAAGGCAAGGACAAGTCATGCTGGGGTGGGGGTCAGTATCGGTCCCTCAGGGATCCCCGCCTGTCCAAGCCCACTCCCAAGCCAAAACCCCACTCTCTGATAGGTCCCTTTACCGGTCCTCTGGGGAGGGCTCATCCTCCAGCAGACAGTGTGGCTCAGGCCTGCCCACCCCCCCCAGGCCAGCACTCACTGTCCTTGTCGGTAGGTGGCTGCAGAGAGTAGAGAACGCCTTGGGGGCCATTTTGAGGGAGACCCGGGCTGCCTGCTGGGCCGGGGGGACCAGGGGGTCCAGGGCGCCCCATCTCTCCAGGAAGCCCGCGGGGCCCTGGTGGCCCCAAGAGGCCTGCAATGGGGAGAAGAGGAGTCATGTGAGGGCTGAGCTTGGCAGCCAACATTACTGACAGGAAATAGGCCCTAAGGGGACAGGGTTGGCAAGGGTCAGTGACAGTCTCTAGACCACAGTCTCCCTAGAGGGCTGTCTTAGAATGTAAGTAAAATGGCTTCCCCCTTCCCTGCCCTGTGCAGAGGCACCCGTGGGTCAGCTGGTGGCAGGGGGAGGAGGCAGGGACGGCTCTGGCCTGATGCCCTCTGCCCCCCCCCCCAGGGACCTTAGCTCTGGGGCAGGAGCGCCAGGAGTGGCAGCCAGCCTGATGTGGGGTCACTCCCTGGCAGGACCCAAGAGGAGTCAGGGGCTCTCCTGAGGTGTTTAAATGATTAAGAACAACCCCAAGCCCCTGGCAGCCCCACCTCCACGTTGGCACCCACAGCCCCCAGAGCCTTCTCTTCTTCCTGCAGCCCAGGGTGAGAACAGGCCCTAAAGTGCCCTGGATGGGTAGCATAGGGTGCTGGTGGGTGTATGAAATGATTTCCCTGCTTAGACTGGGGAGAAACCCCAGTCCCCATTCCCAGGGACAAAGGACAAAGTCACTGTCCTTACCAGGAGGCCCTGCTGGGCCTTTCTCTCCTGCCTGGCCCCGGTCACCTTTGGAGCCTGGGGGGCCTGCAGGCCCTGGTGGTCCTGTCTGCCCCGGGGGCCCTGGGAAGAGAATGAGATGAAGCCTGAGAATACTGTGGGCTGAGCTGGTGGCTCCAGGCCCGACCACCTAAGCTGTCTGGACGGACCTACACCCAGGAGCCCCGTCCACCTGAGGCTGCCCAGAATTGGCAAAGGGACCAGTCAGCTCGAGTTAGTCATTATAGTTGACATACCATTTTTGCACCGATTAACCTCTATGATTTCAAGAGCTGTTGTTTCCATTTGACAGGTGGGGAAACTGAGGCTCCAAAAGGTGTGGTCCCCTTGCTCAAGATCCCAGAGCCAGAGTGTGGATAAGTCCGGTTCCCTCTCTCCATGTCCTTATGTCTCCTGCTCAGAGTTGGAAAATGGGCTTGTGGCAGAGAGCTCCCTCTAAGGCCTCTTCCCAAGACTCCAGGAAGCCCCAAAGGACATGCCTGCCCACCTCTGGAGCCTCCAGACCCCACGGGTGAGTGAGAGGAGATAAAGACGTAAGAGGCCCACCATGTGGCAGGGGGACAGCCCCTTCTCCCTCTGGAATGCCTGGAGCAAGTGCTCAGAAGTGCTTGCTGGACTGATGGAGGGACCTGAGCTGGCTCTTAAGGCCCTTCCATCTCTGCCTGCATGTGATTGTGGCCTAGGAGGAAGGGCTTGACCGGCTGCTGGTTTGGAGAGGCTCCACCTGTGCTCTGGGATTCCAGGAGGAAGCTGGGTGTCACCATTTGTAGGGTTTGTTCGCCACCTGGTGGCCATTCCCTGGGAATGCGCAAGGTCTGGCCCAGAGCCCCTCCCAGCCTTCCCCTCCACCTGCAAGGAGTTAAGGCCTGGGTCCTCCCCAGGATGAGAGGCCTCCTTCTTTCTCAGTCTCAGAAGAAAGATTTGAAGAACATGGATGCGGTGCAGCCCTTTGGGGTGAGACCTTGGGGACAGTGGCTAGAGAAGTGGGCCAGGGGACCCAGAGTGAGAGGCTCCCCCACACCCACTGCAGGCCTGAGCTCGTCCCTCCTCCCACAGCCTCAGCCCCTCATAGGAGTGCAGAATATCTGCTCCTCCCCCAGCCCCAGGACTGGCCACTGGAGGCAAATTGTCCCACTGCTGGGGGTCTCCCTCCCGGACTTGCTCCAGCTCCCAGGCAGAGGAAGCAAGGGAGGGGCTCGGGGCGTGTGCTCAGAGCAGAGTCTGGGGATTGCAAAGAAGCTGGGGGCTCAACTGAGAAAGAGGAAGAGAGGAGAGGGAGGGAGATCATGGCCTCCAAAGGGCTCCAGTGGGGCCAAGAATCATGGGGACAAAGAGCCCCTGGCTCACTCACTGGGTAACCCCAGGGGCCACTTCTCTGAGTCTGTTTTCTCCTCTGTAACCCCAAGCTTTATGAGCTTACCAGAATAACGAGGAAGGATGTTCACACTAGGGTGATGTGAAATATTTAATAACTGGTACAGCGTGGACACTGACCAGTCAGAAGGGACACCAACCTTAAACCCCTGAGTTCAGCCATACTGACAGGTGCCAGCTAAATGTCCACTCAGGTAAAGGCCCAGCACAGTGGCCAGTACAAGGCAGGCATTCAACAATTCGAGCTACTATTACTACAATTATTACTACTATCTGTAAGCTCAGAGAACAGAGTCCTGACCAATGGACGGAGGCTGCAGAAAGAAATTTTTATCCCTAATTTTACCATGTGGAGGGAAGGGAGAAAATAACAGGACAGCAGATGTCCTCTAGCGAGGAACCCACAGAAGGTGGTAGGAGGCAGTAAGCTCCCCATCCCCGGGGATATGCAGATAGGGGCTGCTGTACAGTGAGCCAGCCAGGGAGTGGGATGGGCTGAGGGCCTAAACGAAGACGCTAAGGGGCGTCAGGGCAGCAAATGAGGACAGTAGTTGGGTTGTATACAATAAGGAAGGGGGGGGCGCTGAGACAAACTGCAGAGCTTGGACAAGATCTGAGAGGCAGACATGACTTAGCTGCAGCCAGTTGTTTCCATGAGGGACTGTTAGCCCCAATGGCCAAATCCTCCATTTTTCTAAGAGAAGCCAGAAATCTTCATTTTTATGTGAATCCCCCAGTGTTTAAATGGTAGCTCAAATTTTTAAAATGCCATGCAGGCTTTTTTGACCCAGGGCCTAGTGTGTGACCTACTTGTGGACTCCCTGGGAGGCCATGCCTGGGACCTCTCTGGCTGGTCCGAGCCCTCTCTTGTGGGCTGCACTCACCAGCTGGGCCTGTGGGCCTTCTTCGGGGCTCTGGGTGGGCAAGAGGGATAGCGTCAGGGAGGAAGTCCTCATTCCAGGGTGGTGGGGTGCTCTGGGGGGCCGGCAGGTCATTGTCCGGGCTTGAGGGCCGCTCTGCTGCTTCCAGCAGGAGAACCTGGGCCAGAGAAGGGCAGAGGGTCAGGCCCGGGCCAAGACAGGGACACGTGTGGACAAGGAGAGTGCCCCATGAGACCTGCAGTTGCCCCTGCTGGGTTGGGGGTTGACCCTCCTCAGTGGGACCAGCATTCCACTTGCTAGAATGCTCTCATCCCTGCCCTCCTCTCATTTCAGGAAAGCCCTCCTGGACCCTCAGGCTCAAACAAGTCCCCATTGGACACTTTCAGAGTCCCTGTACATTTTTTCTAGAGTGGCCATTACTGGGATTGGAGGTCTGTGGTTGTTTGAGTAATGACCATGGTCACCTCCACCTCACTGGCTCCTCCAAAGGTGGGGACTGGGCATGCTTGTCCCCCACACTGCTTGGCTCAGGGCATAAACAACATGGTCAGGGAATGTTTGTGGATGGATGGACAGATGGCAGGTGGGAAGGAGGGAGGTAAATAAGGAGAGGAAAAAGAAAAGGAAAGAGACTGAGGGAGAGAGGAAGGAATGAAGGAAGGAAAAGGAAGGGAGGGAGGGAGGGAGG